TCTTGCCAAGTGAAGCTGTGCACACAGCAGTTCTTCAAAGGTTCGTATTCCACCACTCTGCTTCCCACAGACAAAGGTCTGTTACTCTTAGGAAGTTTAATTTTGTACAAATGTTTTTAAGTTGAGAAGACAACAGTAGCAGAAGTGGTTGATACCATCAGCCAAAGGGAAAGGACACTAAGGGACAGCTGGTTGCCAAATGATCAGGAAATAACATATGGTATCAATTATCAATGCCTTTAGATTCAAAGTTAAACACTTGTGAAACAACTACCCAGGTACACTAAATTAAAGTATCAAATCCTCAGTTAATCAGGTCAGGGTTATCAGGAGTGTAAATTCTGGCCTTTGATAACACACAGGTGCCTCATTCACTGCACCCAGACAAGAGGAACCCCAGCATGAGCCAGTTCATGCAGACTGTTCACCTTCACCCCCAGAGCACAGACTGCTGTCCCTTTACAGATGGGATAGCCCCTTTGGTCAGGGCAGCTGGCTTACAACGTTTGGGGAAAAAACTGCAAAAATCATCTGCCAAAAGGTATACCTCAATCAGAGGCAGATGGAAGGGCACTGGTGTGAGTATCCATCCAGCAGTCCTGCCCAAAGCAGTGTGTGAAAAAGCACAAAGTTGCAGTCAGAGATGTCTTCACATACAGATCTCATTTATGCTCATATCTTCATAAAAATTCTACATTAAATACCAACTCAATCAGGCCTTGTTTTCACCACCTAAGAATGGCACAAGAGCCTTTTACTAACAACCAAGCCAACTCTCTCACATCATCAGAACTCTGTGGGCAATGGAAAATAATATGACCAGAGCAGCAATGTCATTCCAGCTCATTTGAAGACACTGACACTTCACAGAATCATAGGATGGCTTAACAGAAGGGACCTTAAAGGCAACCTCATTCCAACTCCCCTGCCATGGGCAGGAACACCTGCACAAGACCAGCTTGCTCAGGGCCCCATCCAACCTGGACTTGAACACTTTCAGGAACAGAGTACTCAATTCCTTCAGCTGTAAGGTGGACAAATGTTCCTTTAACCAGAACACTCTTGATTTTTAATGACCCTCACCTTCCACAGTTGAGGCATCCCACTGCTCCCCTCTTTCCAGTGGAGCACTACCACTGAAACACCTCCAAGTGCTAGAGAAGTGGCAAGATCTGCCCAAGCAGTACATCAAAGCACAGTAAACACAAGCTTATGTTCATTTTCTCACAGGTCTCGTGCAGTAATAAGGTTATACCTGTGATGTTCTAATGATATTAAATTATGCAAAGTTAGAGTTTTCTCCAAATGACATCAGCTGGTGTAAGAAAAAAAAGAGACCAGACAAGCTTCTGGGGCATATATTCCAGACTTCAACTATTCAAGTCATCATAATAAAATACAGTAACTAGGGAAAATGAAACAATTAATATGAGAATGAAAGCACCAACAGTATTGAATAAGACACTCTAATAACCCAGCTGAGCAGCCTCAGGATGCAGAGTGGAACACTTGACTTGAGGTGGACACAACAGTTCCCTGCATGACTGACTTGCTTTCACCCCAAAAGGCAGCCCTAGAGTATCTGCACAAGCAGCACCAGAGATCATGCCCAGTTAAGCTCACCCAACACAGCACACCTGCAAACCAGAACTGAGGGTTCGATGAAAATCAGACTTCTCAACACAGAATCTCTCACAATTCCAGTGAAACACACAACTCAACTCCAAGCTCAACTCTTCACAGTAATTCCAGTGAAACATGCACCAATTTAAAAACAAAACACACATGACAAGCGACATGCATTTACCTTTTGTCTGGGGGCTGTTGGAGTCTTCCATAGACAGTTTGAGCTGCTGGATGAACTCGCTGCCATACACACTCCTCTCCTGCCAGATGTTCAGCAATCGTTCCAAGGGCTTCTTGCAGCCCTCGTCTGCTTCTCTGTTCAAAGATTGGGAAATCACTACACTTCAGCTGATCAACACTCCTTATGTTTTCAGACAGCATCTTCCAAACTGGCAGCTGCACCCATTGCAATATGTGAACATTTGGAGAGAATCTTGCTCATGTTGTCTGAGACAAACTGAGCAAAACACACTTGTGGCCAATTTTCCCCTTTATTGGACCTAAAGATTGCCTGGAAGTCTCCCACCATTCCCACCTCAAAGGAAGGGCAGAAAAGTTGTGAAAGAAGAAACTTGCTATCATTCAAAATTTGCAATAAGAGTTTATAAAAAAAAACCCCAAAGCTAACAAGTTTACAACTCTGAGTATTAACTTTAAACAGCTGTTTCAGCCAATAACATCCCAATTAAAAGCAGGTTGATTGGATCATTAGGCACTTAAATGCACTCAGAGCATGTTCTGACAGTCAGACAGCCCTCCAGAACAGACAAATACCCAGAGCATTAATGTTGTTCAGCTGAGGTAACAGAACTTATTACACCATTTAGACACAATCTTAACTAAACAACAGTGCATTGTTGGTAAGGTGGTGCCTGCATCACTTCTTCCCTTTTAACTAAGAAATTCTTCCTTCCTCCAGCGAGGATATTACTGATCAGAAAACACACAAAGCAACTGCTCAGAGCAGGAGGCTGGTGAGCACCCAGTGACCCAAAACATCAGCTCTTTCAAAGTCTTTTGACAATGGGGCAGAGCCATTCATTATGTGGCTTTAATAAACACACCCAACTGCTCAATTCCACTTCCCACAAGCAGATCTGCCAGATCTTTAGGTAACAATTGAAATAAAGTCCACAGGAGCTTCACAAACATGTGAAGCTGTGAAGAACTGGCTCACACACAGAGTTACCCATTTACACTAAACAGACCCCAACCACAAAGCAGTCAGGATCCAATCTCTAGTACAGAGAAGGTACAAGCACCCCCTAGACCTAAAAAAACAACAAAACCCAACTGAATTAAGCTTTGAATAACAAGAATGCAAATCCCTAGAGAAGAAAGCTGAAGAAATACAGCAACATACCTGGCAACATGAGAAAATGCATCCACGAGAACAGATTCAAACTCCCTGGTAAATTCAGGGCCTTTCCTCTTACTGTTCTGGATGACATCGTTTGCTAAATATAGGAAAGTAAGTTTCCTACTTGACTTTGCTGAGAAAGAGAAAAAAAAAAGGAAATAGAAAAGGAAAAAACAAAAGGAGAGTTTGTATTTATTTCTTGTTTCTTTCACCTGGAATCATTAATAGAGCTTTCAAAGTTGTTTATAGCTTTGCAGTCTCAAACCAAAGGCCAAAATATTTCCATGTTACCAATGGAAATCAAGGGCTTTCAAGTCAAGTCGCTCTCAATGCCCTCACTTCTGCTCTTTTCTAATTAACTCATAAAACAAACATGAGTCTGATGGTTTTTGTGCAGTGACACTTCAAGTCTGAAAAACCAATAAAATTTTAAAGACTATTTTAAAATGCTGTTCTAACCCATCAGCAAATTAATAAACCAATGAGTTTATTTTTTATTAATTAACTTCAGGGAAAATACTCAAATAAAACAGTGTAACTCAGAATGAGTGAAACTGTAGGAGAAAGCTGTTGTGGAGACTCAAAAATTTTCCAAAGAATGCTCCTACCATCAAATTTCTTCCATATACCTTAAATTTTCCTATTTTGACACCACCAGTTTCTATCAATACACCAGAACTGGGGAAATTTTGCTCCCCCAAGCAAAACAACCACGAACACACAGAAGGCAGAAAACACAGGTGCTCATTTCTACAACACGGCAAAGGCAGATCTTCCAAAACTCATTAATAAACTCCAAATGGCAAAACCCAGCAATGGCATAGAAGAGAGCTCGGCTGTTCCAAGGGGCTCACAGTGCTGGTGCCCGCAGGGGAAGGGGGACACTGGCTGCACCTGGGGACAGGGCATCAGCACGGAATCCCAGACTGGTCTGGGCTGGAAGGGACCTCAAAGATCACCTCGTTCCTACCCCCTGCCACCGGCAGGAACCTTCCACCAGGCACCGGCAGTCTCCCTTGACTTCAGGATGAAGCCACCTGGGAAATTACCTTTTGTTAATCTGCAAGGAGAACACGCACAAAACGTTTCGGGCTGATAGCACCGGAGAGTTTTACAAACTTCTACAACTCCTTTTGTTTTGCTTATCTCCTCTCACTTATTCTGTAACGGGTGAGGTGTATGAATACAAATCCAAATTTTAAGACTTCCCACTTTGCCTGAGCAGTCAGGGGAATGTAATTCGTACATCTCTTGTTTTACACCCGCCCAGAGCTGAGCATCCCCTCCCTCCCCACCCACGCTTGGCTGCGCCTCCGTCCTCTGCCGTCCCAAAAGCGCCGCCGGTATCACCGCAATACTCCCCTCACACGTGGTGCTCCCCCAAGCTCAGCAAACAACACCACGGCAGCCGAGCAGCGCCCGGGCTCCCGCCAAGCCCCGGGACACCGACAGCCGGGCCGGCCCGCGGAGCTCCGCCAGGAACCGGCCGCGCTCACCGGCAGCTCCGCGGGCGCCCCGCCAGCTCGGGGCCGGGGCTGCCAGCGCGGCCCCGCCGCACCAACCCCCCGCGCACCTTTGCGGAGCTCCCGGTGCCACACGGCGACGATGGGCCCCGCGTGCTTGCGGTGGTGGATGAGCCACAGCGAGAGCGTCTGCACGCTCTGCTGGGAGTTGCTCAGCTCCGACAGCTTCTTCTCCAGCGCCGACTCCGAGAAGGAGGACATGGGGCCGGGGCTGCTCCGCCCGCGGGGGGGGCGCGGCGCGGCCTCACCGACAACAACCCGCCGGGGCCGCCGCCACAAGATGGCCGCCCGCGCCCTGACCCCGCCGCGGGGCGAGGGGCGGCATCGTACGGAGCGCCGGAGGGAGCCGGGCAGCGCGGCGGGCGGGCTCGGCGCATGCGCAACCATCCTCGGCGCCTGCGCACTGCGCGCACTCGCGATTTTTCTCACAGCGCCCGCCCAGACCCGCGGGAGCTTTGTGGCGCTTGCAGCCCCGTTGCTTTAGGGTCACGCCGCTGGCGCATGCGCGTTACGGACACCCGAGACTTTTCTCACAGTGCCCGCCTCACCTCTCGGGAGCTTTGTGGTGCTGGTACCGCGGCGTCACTTCCGGCACCCTCAGGGCTGCCCGGCCTGGCCCCGTGTGGGATCCCCCGGTACCGGGCCGGGCCCGCGGCCCCGTTCCCCCGGCATGGCCGTGTTCGACACCCCGCAGGCGGCGTTCGGGGCGCTGCGCCCCGTCTGCGTGCAGCTGACGCGGGCGCAGACGGTGGAGAACGTGCGGCTGCTGCAGGTGCAGCTGGGCGCGGTGAGCGGCGCGGCCCTGCAGGAGCTGCAGGAGTACGTGCTGTTCCCGCTGCGCTTCGCCCTGCGCCTGCCGGGGCCCAAGCAGGAGCGGCTGCTGCAGAGCCTGGTGCAGTGCATCGCCTCCGTGCTTGCGGCGACGTGCGTGAAGAAGCAGGAGCTGCTGCAGGAGCTCTTCTCGGAGCTCTGTACCTGCCTCGCTCCCCCTCCCAGCTCGGGCAAAGCCGCCCCGCTGTCCGAGGAGCTGAAGCTGGCTGTGATCCAGGCACTCCACACCCTGATGCACTCGGCTTATGGGGATGTTATCCTGTCTCTGTACCAACCTTCCACCCTTCCACTCTTAGGATTTGCTGTGTCTTTGCTTCTGACGCTTGCAGAGCAAGAGAAAGCAAAGCAAATCAAGGTCTCTGCTTTGGAGTGCTTGCAGGTCCTGGTTCTGCAGTGTGACTGCCAGGAGCACCGACACCTGGATGAAGACGAGGCACAGCAATGTGGGGATTTGTTTGCTTCTTTTCTGCCCGGGATCTCTATTACACTGTCTCGAGTTATTGCTGGAGACATCAAACAAGGTCACAAAACCACCGTTTCTGCCATCAGACTCTTTTATCTGATTGTTGGCTTGGTCATGGCTGATGAACAGCTAGCCAGAATCCCGAAGAGTAAGGAAAAGCTGCTGGTGGAACACAGCAGGATATCAGAGCTAATGATCCACAGAGGACCTGACTGGACTAAAAGTACTGCTGAAAAACTCTCTCTTCTGTTGCATAAAGTGGTTGAGTCCTCTTCAGTTCACCCCCACTGGAAGGTGAGACTGGAGCTGGTGGAGCTGGTGCACCACTTACTGAGGAGCTGCAGTCAGTCACTGGTGGGCTCGTTCAGTCACCTCTTAAAGGCCTTGGTTGGGCTGGTTAATGATGAAAACAGCCAAGTCCAGAGCAGGTGTAACAAAGTTCTGCAAGGGATCGCAGAGCAGAGGATCGTGGCCCAGAACAGGGCTCTTGCTGATGTCCTCTCTGAGAACCTCCATTCCCTCGCCACAGCTCTTCCCCGCCTGATGAACTCTCAGGATGACGTGGGCAAGGTTTCCACGCTGAGCTTATTGCTTGGCTACCTGAAGCTGCTGGGGCCCAAGGTTAACATTGTCCTCCACTCCGTGTCCCACCTGCAGCGCGTGTCCAAGGCGCTGGTGCAGGTTCTGGAGCTGGATGTGACAGATGTGAGGATTGTGGAGGCTCGGCGCTCCGGGCCACCCGGCCCCCTGCAGCAGGGTGTGCACAAGGGCAGGTGCCAGAAGAAATATTTCCGCTTCTTCACGGAGGAGAAGGTTTTCCAGCTCCTTCAGCAAGTGTGCCGTGTTCTGGGCTACTACGGGAACCTCTACTTGCTTGTGGATCACTTCATGGGGCTGTACAATGAGTCTGGCCTGTACCGAAAGCAGGCAGCCATGATCCTCAACGAGCTGGTCACGGGGGCTGCCGGGGTGGGAGTGGATTTCCTGCAGGAGAGGGAAGTTCCACTGAGCGTGGATGATCTCAAAGGGTCCATAACGTCCATTCTGGATGAGTACATGGACCAGGCCAACTGGTACTTGGTCACTAGCATTGACACGGAGGACAGCAGCCCTGGGCAGTCAGCGCAGCACCTGGGACTCGCTGTCCGTGCAGGAGGGGCACCCAGCAGCGTCCTCCCCCTGTCCCCAGAGCCCCCAGTCACTGCCCGCACCATGAACAGCAACATCTGGCAGATCTGCATCCAGCTGGAGGGCGTTGGCTGCTTTGCCGCTGTCCTGGGGAAGGAGTTCCGGCTGCTGCTGCTGTCAGCTCTCTACCCTGTGCTGGAGAAGGCTGGGGACAGGACTCTGCTCATCAGTGAGACAGCACTGGGGACACTGGCAGACATTTGTGAGGCCTGTGGTTACGACTCGGTGCGGAGTTTGATTAATGAGAACTCTGACTATCTGGTGAACGGGATTTCCCTGAATCTGCGCCAGCTGGCCTGCCAGCCACGAGCGTCCCAGGTCCTGGACACCATGCTGAGGCATTCAGATGCCAGCTTGCTGCCCCTGGTGGAAGATGTAATCCAAGATGTCCTGTCTGCACTAGATCAGTCTTACAATAGCCAGGCTCCCGCCTTCCTCAGGGTCCTCCACTCAGTCATGACTGCTCTAGGTACCAAAACCATGTTTGCTTTGTGTGATTCAGCCTTGCTGTCACTAAGGGTACTTGTCTTGGACCTTTCCACTTGCCATGGGAGGTTCCAGGTAGCCCGGGTGTTGCAGTGTGATGGCCACTGTGCTTTGCCTGCTGGGGCAGTACTCAAGCACAGATCACCAGTAGCTTTCCCTCTCCAGTTTTTCTGGCCTGCAACCTTTCACAGGAACACGGCCTTTAGTGGCTGAGAAGGGATGGGTTCACTGCTCCCATGAACATTCTAGAGGAGCATGTGGCATGTATTCCTTTTTAACTTTCCCATACTATCAAGGAGACTGGGGTGTGACAGCAGGTGCCTGAGTCAGGTGCAGTCCCATGAGGTGTGAGAGCCATCTCATCTCTCGTGGAACCCATGGCACCTGCTGACTTGCAGGAGGGTGTCATGCCCAGTGACATGTCAGTTCCTTTTTTGCAGTGCAGTGGTTTGGAGTGCCCAGCGCTGAGGAGCACCAGCAAAGGCAGACTGACAGGGGCCAGAGCAGGGCTCTGTCCCAGGGACAGCAGAAGGTGACAATGACAAGTCAAGAAGTGGAACAGTTCTTCCTTGACTACATCAGCCAGAAGCAGATCGCAGAGGGTGATCTTCCTGACCTGGAGGAGGAGGCAGGTCAGTGCTGTGTGTGACTGGAGGGGAGCATGGTGAGTTTGCAGAGAGACTGTGACCTCTGAGGTGTCCTTTTGTCACATGGGGGCCTTGGGACCAGGTTGACAGTCTCAGGTCTTCTTTGGGCTGACCTTGCTTCATGTAAAGTGCTGTTGGGTGTTCTCACTTTGTTCTCTTTGAGTGGGGAAGCCAAATGTTTGCAGATCAAGGCTTCTCTAGCTCTGAGACACAAGCACACTGTGTTTTTTCTTACCTCATAACACTTCATTTGGGTTCGGGACCTGAAGTTTCATCTTTCCAGGATCCTTTGTGGTTTCCTCGTGTTCCCTTGGGAATCTCCGAACTGTTTTCTCCTGGCTAATGATGCTACTGCTCCCTTCTCACTTGGCCGTGGCAGGCACTGCAGACATTCATATAGGGAACTTTTTAGTCTTCACTGGGCTGTGCTGCAATCCTGACCTTTAAATACCTCATCTTTAAATACCCAGGCTTTTCATTTTTAATAAAAATCAATGGGAAATAAGTCCATGGTGAGAAGAGACTGCAAATGTCAGACCAGCTGCGTTGTCCCGTAAAGAAAGCGAACATTCCCTAGCCCCACACTCTCAACTGAACCTGACACTAACTCACAGAACTCATAGGCTTAACTATATCTAAGCACATCAAAAAATGCCAAAGGCCTTACTCAGGAATTTGCAGAGTCGTCGTGGGTGGGTGATCTGTGACTGTGATCTCCCAGAGCTCCCAAGTAATTTTCACGGCTTCAGTAATGGTTTTGTCTTCCAGGTGAGGTTCCCCTTGCTAAGCCAGAGCCCAGCTCTGACACAGAAGGAGAGGCTCCAATGCCAAGCCATGCTCAGCTGGCCAGGGATGTGATGGAGAGGTGCATCCACTTGCTGTCTGACGGGAGCCTCCGAGTGCGGCTGAAGGTCGGTAATGGCCAGCTCTGAGGGGACAGATGGTGCCCATGAAGGGGCTGGTAGCTCATCAGCGTGTGTGCCATGCACGTTGGGCTCCCTGCCATCCCAGGTTTGTGCTGCCATATGCTCCAGCAGGACAGATCCTCCAAACCTGGCAAGAGAAAGGGAGGTAGTTTTTCGGGAGGGCACTGGATTAGGAATGGCAGCCAGGCGGAACAGAATCTTAAGGGTGGCTTTGTATTGGACACTTTCCCTTGATGCTCATGACAGTTAAGTCTTGTGCTTTGTGCTTTGGTGGAGGAAACAGAAGCATCTTTCTCCCATCTGTGCCTCCCATCCCCCTTCCTCAGGCTGCAGTGCACAGGCTGATGAATGTTTTTGAAGTAGCTGGGGTGATGATAAGCAGGGCTAAAAGCCTGGCTTTTTTTCTAATTATGAAAACCCTTTGAAGGTGGCCTCCTTTTAAAGTGCAAAGTGAGACAGAAAAATGAGGCATAACCCAGATTCTCATCCCAGCAGCCCCAGCTCTGCCAGGTGATCCTGCTGCCACTGCCGCAGTGGGGTCCAAGTGTGCAGCTCAGCCTGTGGGATTTGGGCAGGAATCCTGCCCTGCTCCCAGCCCAGCACAGGCTGTGTCACTGCTTGTCCCTTTGCAAGCAGGCCTGGTTTCTAGCACTGTTCACTGTTCCTGCTGCGGTAAAACCGCACCCTTTGCTGTCCAACCCCTCCTCCCAGCTTGCTGCCGTGCTGCTGGGATCCACCTGAATGCCTGGCACTGCAGCACTCTGAGTCTGTTCCCTCCCCTCGTGCCCAGGTCCTGGACGTGCTGGAGCTCTGTGTAACCATGCTGCATCCTCATGGAAACCATCTGCTTCCCATGGCTCACCGTGTCTGGCCAGCTCTCGTCACCCGGCTGATTAGCGACGACCCTCTGGCAGTGCTCAGAGCCTTCAAGGTATGGCAGTGGCTGCCAGCAGCATTTCCAGCTGGGGCTTGGGCAGGAAGTGGCTCAGGCAGTGCTGCAGCTCAGGAGAGAGCACCAAGCTCCTGCAGCAATGTTTCAGTGTGGTTTGGAGCATTGGAGTCACCATGCTCTGCTCTGGGTGTTTGTACCACTCTCACTGCAGCTTGGCCACAGTAAAGCCTTGATGCTGTTCCTGGGGGAAGCAGCAATGTTGGTGGTTACTGCAGGGATGAGAAAAACAGCTCTACAGCCTCAGCAGATGTTAGGGGCACCACACAGTGCAGCTTGGTCTTGCTGGAGGCACAGTCCCAGCATCCTCTTTGGAAGCCTCAGATTGAAAATAGGGGAACATTTAATGATTGAGGCATTGGCAAGGGAAGGGAGAGGTTGAACAAAGACTTGGCCCTATAATGACATTATTAAAGGGCTCCTGACCTTGTCAGCTGGCTCCTTTCTCCTCCTGACTCACAGGCTGGCCAGTAAAGCATGTTTCCAGAGGTTGCCAGCCCCAGCACTGCAGATGAATTCGTCTGCTGGGCAGAGTGAGATTCATTTTAGAGTCCTTCAGTGTGAATAAAGAGAGTTTTGATTCCAGAAATTCCAGCAGCCATGCACTACAGTCTCTGAATAGCCATACCTATCATGTGCCTGCCCTAAAAGGAGGTAGAGATTGCTGTACAAAAACTAATTAACTCTGGAAAAGTTCAAGTCATCATTACAATTTGCACCCAGATTGGGTTTTGCTGTATGAATTCCCCCCAAAATGTCTTCCTGCCTAAATTCCAGGACCAGAAGTGTCATATCAGTGTAAAGCAAACACAACATAACCAGCATCTCAGTCCTGCACACTGAGACCATGACTCAGTGAAGTTTCAGAAGAGAGATCAGTGTCCTGGCCACGTGGATCCCCCTTTGTTTTTACATGCATTTAGGGCCATTCTCTACCCAGTTTGAGTTTGATCCTGGGCAGACACCAGTAGTGCTGGGTGCCCTTTTTCTGTGGCCACTTGGCCTTTCTGCTTGCTGATGTGCTTGGAAGGATGGGTTGTCTGCACCACAAAAGAGATTTAAGGATATAATCATATTTAATGGCATTTTCCATCAGAGACTCCTCCACTAATTCTGAGTAAGAATGCAGAGCTGCTCTTACCTTTACTGTGCTAATGAGGGAAGGGCAGCCCAGGAGGTCAGCCAGGTGACACTGCAGAGCTCACTCAGCCTCTCAAACATTCACCTTCTGCTCATTATGGGGAAACTGGGGCAGGTGTGGTCACAATGCTCTCATCTGCAAAAACAATTCTCCAGGAGAGTGAATGTCTGAATCCCCCAGGCTGTGTGCATCACTGAGCTGCTCCCAGGCCAGTGTGAGCACTATCCCCTGTAACTGGTGTCTCTCTTAGGTGCTGTGTACCCTGGGTCAAACATGTGGGGACTTTCTGAGGCAGAGGTTCTCCAAAGATGTCCTGCCCAAACTGACCAGTTCCCTCCTGAGCCAGGCCCCAGTGAGTGCCAGAGCTGGGCCTGTGTACAGCCACACACTGGCCTTCAAGCTGCAGCTGGCTGTGCTGCAGGGCCTGGGCTCTCTCTGTGAGAAGCTGGACATGGGTGAGTACCAGAGGAAGCACAGGCTGTGTGGGTCTCTGCCAGACTTTGTTTCCTCTCTTGCTGCTTCTCTTCCTGCTGCCCACAAGTTGATTTCCTGATCTTCTCTAGCCTGGGTCTGATCTCTTTGGGAGCTCTGTGAAGAGGTGCTGTGCACTCTTTTCTCCCCAGGAGACAAATGGGAGAGAAGGTTTCCACCACATGCAAAATGTGACTGCTCATCCCACTTGTGGGTGAGAAGAGGGCACAGAACAGAGTCCCTGCATTGCTGTTGGGCCACACTTTGTTCTTACTGGACAAACTGGAGCCCAGATAAGACTTCTGGCTAGCTCGACTGGTTCCATTGTGGGCTTGTCTCTGGGGGACCCTTTAAATCCAGCACATCACACTCTTCTATTGAATGAAACTCTGAAATTCTCCCCAAGTGAAATTTCTGGAACTGGCTTTGATGAGGGAGAAGGTTTGCTGGCTAGTTGCTCTTTTCCTCTCAGTGCCCTTGATTGCTTTCCTGGCTTTGCAGCAAGATGCTTAAAAGGCAAGGTCAGAAGAGCTCCGGGTCAGACAGCTCAAAGGCTCTGAAGCCTCTGCTGCCAATTTGGAGCTGATTCCATTAGGCAGCAGCTGCTGAGGAGGTCACCTCCTACCCTTCTTTCCTGTTCCATTTCTGCAGGCGAGAGTGACCTGAATAAAGTGGCAGATGCCTGCCTGATTTACCTCAGTGCCAAGCAACCTGTGAAACTGCAAGAAGCTGCCCAGAGGTAATGTCTCTTAAATGCAGGTGTGTTGGGTGTACAAATAGTGGGGGACAGAGGGAGCATAGTGATCCCATTCCTTTTGCACCTTTCATGTTCCACCTTCCAGCATGTTCAAGTCCTGTACAGCAGGGCCTCTCATTGAGATTTCTGGGGTGAAGTATCACTTACTCCCCAAAATGAGTTAGAGAGGTCAGTTGTCAGCTTGGACAGACATTACAGGTGACCTTGCTGTACATTTGGGAATAGAGGGGAAGATGTGCTACTTGCTTTTTCCTAACCAAATACTTGAGGCCTTTGGCCCACTGGTGGCATCAAACTGCAGAGGGAAGATGACTGTGGAAGAGGATGTGCCAGGCATTCCCTTGTATCACTTGATACCTTCTGCAGGCTGGGGGATCTACTTCTGTTTTCCTTCCATTTTCCCTGGGCTCCAGCCAGGTGGACCAGAGTTTGTTTGGGAAGCTGTCAGTCTTGGCACCAGTGTTGCTCTGAGAAGGCTGGGAGAGTCTAAAAGAGCAAAGACAGTTTAGGTGAACACACTCCAGCTCTGGGAAGTGTTGACAGACATACTTTGCTGCTTGGTGTACAAAATCCTGCTCAGTGTGTTCTGCTGTCAGGATAAGAAATCACTGTTGTCATGTGTTGTCACCTGGAACCAAGGCTGGAGATTTCAGGAGACAAAGCGAGTCCAGGCACAGAACACGGAACATAAATCAGGAAGCCCCTCTGCCGAAGGATGGGCTGAAAACCAGGCAGCTCCCCCTTCCTGTGCGGCCAGCCCTGCCCTGCCCCGAGGGGAGGGGAAGCCAGCGGGTTCCGCAGGCTCTGCGGTTTCGGATTTCCAGGGCAGGCTGCTGGAAGGGAAGCAAAGGGAAGTGCAGCCCATCCGTTCCCTTTCACAAAGCACAGGCTCCCGGGGGTGCAGGGTGTGAAGGGCTTTGTGTGGCTGGGCAGCAGTTCAGAGGCAGCGCTCTCCCGAGCAGGAGCATTCCTTTGTTTGTGTCTCTGCACGGATGGGAGTGGGTTTATTTTTACCTTGGAGGCTTTCACAGCAGCACAGCAGGCTCCAGCAGCATTTGTTCTGCAGAGGGGCTCTGTGCTGTGGGAGTGCATCCCCTTAATGCAATAATGCCTCAGTCTGTGCAAGCGATGCTGGATGAAAAGCAGAACACCAGGATTTATCTAGATATTTGGAATCTGAAGCTTTTAAATCATTAACCAAGCAGCTTGAGAAGCTGTGCAATTTCCCCCCAGCAGCAGGGGTAGGGGGAATATGAAATGAGCCCTGTTGGAAGCTGTATGCTGAAGTGAGCTCACTTGTTAGAGCAAAAGGGCAGCAAAGTTCAGGGCAAGTAACATTTTTCTCCTGTGTGTTACTTTTATTATATTTTAAGGGGGAAATGCCATATGTTTTGCTCCTCCCCCCATGCTTTTGATGCACCATACATCACATATGTGAACCAAGCTGCTCATAGAAGTCCTTGCTGTCTCCTGTTTAACTCCATTGACCAGACACATGTATGCACTGGGGCATGCATCATGCCTGGCCTGACACTACTGACATGGCAGCATTTGGAGGTTTCTTTTGGGTTTAATTTCTTGAGTTTAGCCCTGTTTGATCCCTGATCTTGGAGCCTGGATGGATCAGAGTTCATCGTATCACACTCACTTTTAACTGTATTTCCCTGATATGAGGTTTCAGCCTGGAAAAGCCAAAATTAGTTTGGACCATAACAATCAGCTCCTGTATCAAGATAAGAATCACTTCTCAGCCACCCTTCCACTTCTGTTCTCCAGCTGCTGAACCACCACATTCCTCTAAGTTCTGCCTCTTCTTGCTCTCCATGTGCCTGAAAGTAATCCTGCAAACTGACACAGGCTGTCACACATAAGGGCCTTTCCATCTAAGCAAGGGCAGTGTTATCAGCCTGATACATGAGAAATTCTGCATTTTAAATGCTTCTAAAAACAGATAGACCAGAACTAATCTTAGCCCCAGCCTCAGCGCCAGCGTACGTCACATAACTCAGCTTTATCACTGCAGAAATCATAGGAGGTAAAAGGATGTTTGGAATCAGCTTGCCATGGTGATTTATACTAACTGGCCTTTGCTCAGCTCTTAGGGTTCTTATTCAACTGATGGGTTGTGACCTGTCAAGAGCAAGGTCAGGACTCACAAAGTCAGCTGTAGCTCCAAAAATCATACACTGACTACGTGAGGATTCTGTAGGCATGCAAGGGCTGAGCAGGAAGTTTTGGCCAAGATGCCTGAGCCACAAAAAGAAAAAGGAAAAAGGGAGTTTGGCTATCATCCAGAGATGTTATCATGCCCCAAGGAGTCTGCTTAATCCCATTTATGGGACCCTGTAGCTTTATTAGATGAAGCAGTGGGAGTAAGTGATTTTTGTAACTGCAGCTTCATGCAATACTCAACAGGCAAAAATAGATGCTGGGAAAAAAAGAACTCCAGCACATCTGAGGAAGAGAAAATGGGACAATAACAATAGGTTTTACTAGAAGATGGCTGCTGGGAGTATTCCAGGAGAATATTATCCAAAGCTTTTTAAAAAACCAAACACAAAACCACCAAAGAGACCAAACTCACTGAAGAAGAGTTTGGGAATGCCAAGGAGCACTAGAAAAGTCTTTGCCATCATTGAAGAAGATGAGCCTATGCAAGGGTGGGAAAGTGCCCAGAGAGACTTGAGCAAGGGGACATCTGGGGCCCCACTTCTGGGAACAAGGCTGGGGAGATGGTGGGAACTGAAAGTCACAATTTGTAAATCTGAGCTTCTCGTCAGTCTATGAAGTTGCATCATCCCTGACAATCTTTTCACTTCAGGGAATAAAACCTTGAAGGAAAAGAGATTAGGAAATTGTCACTAGCCCCTGTCAAAACTGACAAGTAGTTTCCATTTTTTCAGTTTCAAGTGACTGTTTTGAATTTTACACTTAATTCCTACTAAATGTTTGCAGCCCATGACCTTTCAGTCAGCATTCTGGATAGGAATGATGGTTTTTTCCCCCAGTAAGATGCTGAAATAATTTCCTCAGTTCTTACCCAAGCCTATGGTGGGCTGTATCCAGTTAAACATTCAGCAGGGATGGAAAGCCAGGAAGCCTTGTCCTTCTGCCAGTCTGTTCACTGTGCCATGGCTTTGCTTGGAGGTTGGGAGAAGACAAGGCAAGAGATACCCAAATTGCTCTGTGCTAGTAGAATAACTTTAGCACACTTGGGACAAATATGAGCTATTTGGGGAGCTTTTTTCATACCAGGGTTGATTATACAGCTTACCTCTTCTGGTTTGCTTGTGTGGTTTGTTGGGTATTCATTGTCAGCTGTCACTCCCAGGCTGGATTGAAGCATGCCAGAACAGCCACCTGCTCAAGGCAAAATTCAATAAAGTGATATTTAAGAAAAAAAGAAAAAGGCAACAACATAAAACAAACTTGGATTAACCCCAGGATTCTTTGCTATGGAAACAGGTTGCTTGGAAACTACCCCAGAGTTAGTTTGAAAATGTAAAAGTCAAGTTGTTCTTTAAGCTGCAGAGCACTCCAGGCTTCAGGGATAATCACAGCCTCAAACCATGATGGGCACCAGAGGCAGTGAGTTCTCCAGGGTCTGGATAACCTCTGAGGGTCGCTCTCCCTGGAGCAGCTGATTGGGAAGAGGTTGGAGAGCAGAGTGTCTGTGCTGTGAGTGGAAGAGCTACAGCTGTGTGTGTGCTGGGGATCAGCAGCCTGCTGCACAATATTCCCTCTTCCCGTGTTCACTTCACAGCAATTCATTGTCCTTGCCTGCTCCCAGCCCAGCCGTGAGGAGCAGGGATTATCTCTGCAGCTGCCCATTGAAAACTGGGTGGGAGCACTGGGAGCTGCTGTTTGCTGGCACACAGAGCTGTGTGCTCCTGCTGTCACAGCCAGGCTGGGGGCACGGGCAGGGCAGTGGCTGCAGAGCTGGAGCCAGGATGGCAGCAGCCAGAGCTCCAAACCCTGCCCCTGCCAGCCCCTCACTCGGGCTGGCACCCAGTGGGCCAGTCAGCAGAGCTGCAGGAACAAAGCCAGGGAAGTGAGGAGTCCTGTGAGCTCACCTGCAGCTGCCCAATCCACAGAAAAAGGTCGTGTTGCTGAGGCAGCTGCTGCCAAGCCCAGCTATCACTGTGGAGCACATTCCCACTGGTTCCTCTGGAGCAGGCAGATAGGCACTGCCAGCACCTTGGGAGGGGACACTGCCAGCAGCTTCAGTGGTGACATCTCCCCTCTTGCTGTTCAGAGACCTGCACTGAGGGCCAGGTGAGGTGTTAATGGCAGAGAGGCAAAGGCAACAGCTTTGCATGAGTAACGAGTCACATCCACAGGGTTATTGTGAAGAGGAGAGGGAGCTCTCTCCTACCTTCATCTCATTTCTGTGCTCTTTCACTTTACCCATGGCACTGCACTCCCTTTTCAGAGAAGAGCTTCTCAAAGGGATTTCTCCCTGCTTTACATTGGAAGCAACCTCACTTTAGGGATGAAAGCTCTTCCAGGAGAAATTTGGACAGCAATCAGATGTGGATTTTGTGTGGCTTTTGTAGCAAGTGATCTTTGCTTTTAGAGAGAGAGTTCAGTTCTGTTCTTCTTGGGAGAGCAGAGACAGACCTACTTGATTTCTCTTCCCATTACCTGACCTAGGAGCTGTTCTCCTCACAGCTCCATGATTTCACTGAAAACTGGAGACCTGAAGACTCGTGGCTGGGCTTTACTGGGATCTTGGGAAACTGTACCATAGGTGTGGTGAGTGCTGAGTGCCTTTGGTGTTCACAGAGCACTCAGCACCATTCAGGAAGAGGCCTTGCAAATTCCAGTCTAATTTTGTTCATGGCACAGCCAGAGAGTTTAATACCAGTTAAGCCTAGTACACCTTCTGTGCATTAAACCCTGACACAGACCTAGCTAAGCCCAAAGGTTGCTGCAGGGAGAACTGGCAGGAGGGGGTGGGTAAGTGTAGGTCACACAAATCAGCATTTGCTCTTTCACTCCTTGAGCTTCCTGCTCTTCAGCAGCAGCTGTGTCCCAGCAGCTCACAGCTGGAGCCCTGTGTGAAGGGCATGCTGGAAAGGCAAATCCCATCTTACTGAGGTGTGGAAATGCAAAGTGAAAGCCATCAACACAGCAGTAAATCTGCAGAGGAAGTTGTGATTCCTCTTTTCCTTCATTCTGTTGTTAGTGAAGATTGTGTTTGGTTTTGGTTTAAAATCCTGCTCTGTGAAAGGTGCTGTGCAGAATGACAAAAATTTGGAGGCAGGACTTGGGATGGTGGGAGATCTTACTTGAGCAAAAAGCCCTCAAATACAGCATTGAGCTTCCCTTGGGGCTCAGCCTGGACAGCTGTTCCCAAATACTCCTGGGTTTGCTACCTCTGGAAAGGCAGAGAAGCCCAGGTGGGTTAACTCCCTTATTCTCCAAAAACCAGAGAGGGTGGTGAACAGCACACACAGCTTCTCCCAAGATCTCTGCAGGAGCTGTTGTCCAAAAGATCCCAGATATGCACAGCACATGCAGTCACCACAGTCACCTCCCCAGCAGTGGGACAGACAGGTTTATGCTTGTGCCAGCAACAGCTCACACAGTGCCAGCCCCAAGCCTGGGTCAGTCCTGCACCAGCTGCTTGTTTGATATCCATAAGTGACTGTGTGGTATCATAAATATTTTTCTCCCACATGCCAGTAGCTGTGAGACACAGAGCTGCTTTCTTGGGCACAGGGGCCACTGCATTGCCCTCTGTAAAGAGCCAAATTTGTGCAGCTGCCAGAGGTTGCCACCAGCATCAAAGCTTTCCTTAACTCTTAATAACCCCATTGGGTGCCAACCACAAGGCTTTGTCCTTACTCTCCTTTCCTCTCTCCCTGTTGTTTTCCACAGTGTTTTCCTGCACCTGATGCACGTGGACCCTGACAGCACCTGGCTGCTCCTGAGTGAGGTGTGCTGCCCCGAGGGCTTTGAGCCCCCCCACGGCAGCCTGCAGCCAGTGAGGCTCAGGGGGATGGGGCAGCCACGGAACGAGCTCACTGACAACGTGCTGCTCCTGCTCCAGAGGCTGCAGCAGCAGGAGGGCACAGCTCCCAGCACCAGCACACAGGAGGCATCTCCTTCCTGACAGACCCACAAGGCAGCTGGGATGGGAAAGAGGAACCACCAGGACAGAGCTCACCTGGGAAAACACCATCAGTGAGAACCCAAATGGTTCAGGGGCAGAGGAAGGGCTGCCCAGTCTGGGGCACTGGCTGAGACACCATCCCTGTGGCAGAGGGTTTATTTTTTGAAGCAGTGTTTGAGGATGAAGTGGGTACATGACCCTAACTCCTGACTTGTGCCTGGCCAGCACCATATGCAGAGAAAATGACACATCTATTCCAAATTCTTCAGTATGGAGAGTGATTCATCTTCCAGAAATTACTTCCTAGCCCTTGATCCTTGGGGAGATTTAGCACTTTAGCATCCCCCACACCTCTCTGATCTCTTCACAGCTGTGATGATGCCTCCCATTCTCAGCTGGACAGTGACTGACAACTCAAAGCAAAAGCTTTTTCTGGCCTTTACCCTTCCCAGGAAGAGAATCTTGTTTGGGGTGCACTATAAACCTGTTCTCTTTAAAAGCAATTAATCTCAGAAGTTAAAGTGCATTTCCAATAAATTCCTCACCTATGCTACTATCAAGAACAATGTGTCCTCTCAGAGGCATCAGGGCTGCTCCTCACAGCTGCAGTTGGCTGAGACCAGATGGAGGCAGCCAAACGTGCTCTGTTCTCCTTCTCACTCTCTGTGAGGTTCTGTAGAGAACCAGCCAGCCCTGATTTACACCTGGGAGGGATTTACAACTTCTCCCATGCCCAGATCATGGTATTCAGGCCATTTCTAGCCCCTACCCCAAGGAGAATTGGATGAAGCACCTGCCTGTGCCTCTGTGCCTGTCCATGGCCAGGCAGTGCCAGTGAGCACCATGGCACAGTGCCATGGTTTGTCACAGTAGGGTCAGCGTGGTACAGTGAGCAGAGGATGACTTGTTTTTGGGGTCAGCTCACTCCCCCTGCTGATTGAACTCTCCCCTGATCTCCAGCTCTCACATCCCCAGGCTCTTGCTGCAGAGATTGTCCATGGGCACTGCTTTGCCCAGATCCCTCAGCTTCACCCCAGCAGCTCCTGGCAGCAGGTGCCTCCTGACAATGGGGGAACATCTATGCAAGTGAAGCAAAAGGGCCAATCTTGACTAAATTTGGAAGCAAGCTCAGAAATACAAAAACCAAAGCAATAAATAGATTGTTACATGGAGCAGGCTTTGTGCATCACTGTTGGGATCCTGAGTGAACATCCAAAACAAGTCTCTGTTGGTTGGCCCAAGGGCACTGCCTGTGCTGCCACATCCCTCAGCTGAAGTTACCTCCCCTTGTGTCCCTGGTTTTATCCAGGCTTTCCTTCTGTTTGCTTCTCCAGGGAAAACACAAGTCAGTGGCTTTTTATCCAGTAGGACAGGGCTGCAGGTCAGCTTTACTGTTTTTTAATATCTGTTCAGTGCTTAACGCTGGTTGGGTTCCATACAAAGGAGCCTTCAGAGCTGCTCTGACAGGGCAGGCAGGGAGCTGAAATACTGTCTTTGCTTTCCAAGCGCCCTTGGGGCTGGTGCAGTTTCCTGGGTTGTTGTAGCACTTGACAAAACTCATCCATTAGGTGCAGATGCTGCATCCAGTCTCGCTCTGCTCAGCTGTGCTGTGGTGGGGATTCCAAGGACACATCCTGCCTGTGCCAAGGATTGCCATCCTGCAGGACGGGTGTGGGATTCAAGGGCAGCATTGTCCCATCACTGCCCAGTGCCCAGGAACCAACCCCATCACCCAGGAGGGCTGTGGCACAGCTGGCTGCACTGAAACACCCCCACCCAGAGCCTGTGGTTCACAGTGCTGTGCAGAGATTTTCCCCACAGCCTCAGCCCCAGCCAGCAGGTGGGTGCTGGTGGCAGGAGAGGCTGTCCTGCCTGTCAGTCAGCTCCTCTCAGCTTCATTATTGCCCTTGCTTTATTGGAAGCTGAGTAAATTGCTTTTGTCTGAGGCAGGGTAATGGCTGGGAGAGGGACTGCGTGGAAATGGCATTTTCATGAGGCTGGTTCCTCCCCAGCAGTGACTTGCATATTAAGCTCAGCCCCTTCACAAGCCCCAGGCTGTCCCCACCAGAACTCTCCTCCACCAAGCAGCCCCCAAACACTCTGGGGTGGGGACCCCCAGCTCCCCCCACTCCAGCCACCCTCTCTGGGATCAGAGAGCAAAGAAAGTTGTGTCCAGCTGCCTCCTCCAGGCACAAACCCAGCCAGGACCCTGGGGGACTGCCACCCTGCTGGGGGCACAGTCCCACACACAGCCCCTGGCAGCAGGCACTGCTGAGCCATGCACACAGATCCAGCAGGGTCCACTCCTCGACTCCTGCTCCCAAGATTTCCTATAAACTCAGCAAAATTAATCTCTTTTAATAAAACCTGTTATTGTTAAAGCTCACCTCCAGGTTTTACAAATCACTGAGCTGCACAGCAATTTGTTTATTCCCTGTTGGAGGTGATTTGCAGCCTCCTGCCCTTCCTAGCATGTCTCTGGGTCTGGCTTTTCCTCTGCTTTGTCCTGTGTTTTGCTGCACTGGTGACCAATGCATCCCAATCTTTTTTCTTCCCTCAGCAATCCCACTCCCTGACAAAGAGAATTTGAGCATAGCCCCAGCCCCACAGCTCTGCCAGGGATTGCTACAGCGCAGCCACAACTATAACTGGCTGCAATGATTTACAGCTGCTGCCCTGCAGCTCCTGAATGTTTTTCTCCCGTGCCCTTTGCTCCCCAAGCCCACAGTTCTCCAGGTGGCAGAGGTGACCATGGCTCCAGAGACACCAGCCACCTCTGCCTGTTCCTGCTCCCCAGCACAGGCTGACACTTCTGGTGGCAGAAAGAGCCACCAGCTCTTCCTCCTTCTCATCAGCACAGCAAGGGGTGAGCATGATGGAGGTCCAGGAATTAACCAGCTTCAAAGAAGCTGCAGGACTCAGCTGGGCTAGGCTGGGCATTGCCAGTGCTCAGAGTTGCTCTCCCACTGGAGAGGCAGAGCCAGCCCCCAGGGGCAGCCAGCACCCTGCTTTGGGGACCCCACCTTCCACCAGGCTGGAAATCTGGTCTGGGTGCCCGGATTGGTGTCAGGATTTCACCTGGCAGCTGACCCAGCACTCCGTGGCCACAGCATGGAGCATCCCCAGCTCGCCTGGGACCTCGCTGTGCCCTGCACCCCTCAGGGCAGCAGCTCCCAGGCTGGGCAGGAGCTCCCAGCTGTGGCTTTTTACAGCTCTGAGCTCTCAGCTGCAGGGGATGATGTTGATGCCCTCCCTCATCCCCATCCCCAGCGGCCCCAGCCCAGCAGCCCCAGCTCTGCCCGTTTTTACCCGAGGCAGTGCCACAGACAGAGCACAGACCCGCAGAGGCTTCGTTTAAAGAGCTTTATTAGCTGCAGCAGGTCTGATGGTGGCAGGCTGGGGGGTAGCAGGGGAGCAGCGCCCGGGCGGGGGGCTCGGGACCCCCCTGTCCCTCCCCGCAGCTCCGTCCCCAGTGGCCGTGGTCACCCCTGGGGGCGGCAGGGCCGGGCTCTGCTGTTTGCACTGCGACACCAGAGCCCGCGGGCCGGACCCTGCCCGGGCAGCGCGGTGCTGTGGCCTGGTGGGGAGGGATGCTGGGCCGAGACGGGGCCGAGAGCCACGGGCAGCGGGACGGGGCTGGCGGGTGGGCGCAGGGCAGGAGGAGTGATGGGTGCAGGGGCCAGCGCCGTGGCACACCTTCCCGGCTACACGGGGCACGGGCACTGGCTGAGCCGTGCCGCAGCGTGTCGGGAGGATGCCAGGAATGTGCCGTGCCGTCCTTCCTCTGCTGAGCTCGGGCCGTGACGTGCTGGGGGCTGCGGGGCAGGCAGGGCAGGGCGGGGGGATACACACGGGCTGTAGGATGGAGGCTGGAACTTAGACACGCACTGCGGGGCTGGAACCGAGCAACTAAACGGGACAACCTACAGGAACCTACAGGGTCTGCGAAGCACGGGGAGGGCAGGAGGGTCCCGTGGGCAGAGAGCTGGGGCACAGCACAGCCCGCACAAGGGATGGGGACCACCAGGCGCGGGCACATGCCCCGGCCCCGGGCACAGCCCCAGCGATGCAGCCGTGGCACCGACGGGCCCGGCGCCCACCCCAGCCTGGCACCGCCGGGCCCCGTGAAGGGCAGAAACCTGCGGGACAGGGAGGTGGCGAGGGATGCTGGACAGGACGGGGCGGTGGGGCCAGTCTCCGGCAGGGGCTGCGGGACCCTTGATGGCTCCGCTGAGTCCGGGGCGGAGGGGGGCTCCGGCGGCCCCCCACACCGCCCACCTACAGCACGCAGGAGGTGTCTGCCGAGCGCTTCTTCAGCTCCCTCCCGGCTTTGTGGTGGTGGTGGTGGTGGTGTGCGTGCGCTGAGCCCGGCGAGGCGAGCTCTGCCAGCGGGGTCTCCCGCAGCTCGGTGTCCTGGGGGTGCCCCGGGCCCCCCGCTGCCTCCACCCGCAGGTACGCCTTCACCTTGTGGTGCCGCGCCTTGCCGTCGCTGGAGTCGATCACCCGGCACTCGTAGGTCCCCTCGTCCTCCAGCTTCACCCGCGACAGCCGCAGCTTGTGGGAGATGTTGCTGCCGACCACCTTCACCACCTGCGTGGGGCAGACGGGCGGTCAGGGGTCCCCAGGACTGCCACTGCCCCCCAGACACCGGGGCAGTGCCACCCCCGGCTGGGTGCCACCACGGCGAGGACACGGTAAGGGCCGGTGAGGTTGGGGCAGGGGAACCCAGCCCCAGCCCCAGCCCCAGCCGGGGATGATGGAAGCCCTGGCTCGCACCCGGCCACGCAGGGCTCGGAGATCGATGCGGAACCACGCTGGCTAATTAGCTTTTCTACCAAATTGATTCGCTCTCAGTATTTATCACCCAATGAAATTTAAGACTTACTCACTAGCCAGAGCCGCGGCTGCTCTGGGCTGGGTCAATAAATCAGATTTATAACCCACCCCGAGGCCCCTGGCTCTGTTCCCTATAATCACACTGGATGGCAAAGGCCGTTTTTCTACTCGCCGCTGCATTTGTTAGCTGAGGATTTTATGGTGTTTGGAAACAGGGCTGGAGAGGGGCAAAACCCACCCCAAACAGCACAGGAGGGCAGTGTGGGAACCCAGACCCCTCAATGTCCCCTCAGCCCCTCCCTGTGGGGGCATCCAGTGCTGGAACATGTATGTGCCCACACGTGCACACACAAGCACATACAAACACACACGAGCACACACAGGCTGCTGCATCAGCTGCCCTGCGCACCATGGGCTGCTGAGAGGGAGCTGCTGCCACAGGTCACAGCCAGGGCCACCCAAACAGCATCTCAGGGCTGCTCAGTGGCCACCTGAGCCCCAATCCTGCATTGCTGGAAGTGGGGGTCTGGGGGAATAGGGCAGGGGCAGGAGGTGCCAGGCCCTGGTGCCAGTGTGCCCAGATGCTGAGACTGTCATGGGAAAGGAGCTTAAAAAAAACCCTCTTAGTCGAGAGAGCCAGAAGTCACTGAAATTAATGGCTGGGAAATTTAGAACTAATAAAATAAAACCCCAATTTGCTGGTGCCACCAGTGGCCATGG